GGTATGTACGCTTAACCCTTAGGCAGCGGCTATGGAGAATTGGCCATACCTTCCTATGTGCAAAAAATAAAAAAATTCCAGAAAGTAATTTTTCATTACTGTATAGAATTATAAATTTGAATTCAAAATGTAAGAAAAACACAAAAATAAGTGAATATTTATCATTTCACTGGGTGGAGGCGCTCTCCAAGCATGTGTGGTGGTTGTCTCTGACGCCTGTCAACACTGCCCGACTCTGCTGACACTCCCTGTGTTATCCTCGGATGTTTCACTGATTGTTTATCACTTGTTTCTCATCATTTATAAGTGTGTGTTAAATAACTTGATTGTTAAGGTCACTTATGGATCAGTAACCGGGTTCTTGTTGGAGGAACCTTGGTTGTTGTATCCGACCCCGAGTCAGTAGTACGTTTTCAAGAAAGTGGCTATATAGTGCAATATAAAGGGAAGGAGATAAACTAAACACTGTTCCTTTCACCAATGGATTATATATTTTACCATCACCTTTAAGTATATATATATGTACACCATCACCGTTAAATATATATAAAAGAACAGATAGGCTATTTCTACTCCTATATACAAGGATATCCTTTCACTCAAGATATTAAACGTGCTCACGTGCAGAGTTCATCAAAACCCAGTGTTTCTCCACTGCCCAGTAGCTTATCCAACCTTACTGGGAAGAACACTGGTGAGTTCACCTGTACGTGGGCCAGTCCACTGACAGTGTCACAAGGTGCCTGTACCCCCACAACTGCTCTCCAGCTACTCGCTGGCAGAGGACCTCAGCCACACGCTAAGTAGGTCACAAACCAATACTGGGGTAGCGATCCCCTGGCAGTAGCCTCTAGCGTTCAGATAGCAGCACTACTCAACAGGCACCTCCCTGCCATCAATTTCTCCCCTAAGCCAGTCCCAGAGGCATGCTGATCTCTTTCAACACTATGTAACTAGCAGCTACCACAGTGCTTCAGATCGGCGGCTGCTTACTTGGTCGTTTTTCCAGGACCAAGTCGGGAGACAGTGGACTGCCCAAAATGAACTGCTGTCTCCAGTACCGCTGCCCCCAGATGTCACCTCTGTGGATACAAACACGTCATCAATAAACTGGCCGGTACTGGTGAAACTAAGAAGTACCACTAACCCACTGGGGAGTTGATATTGCGCTTTGTAGCACACCCTAGGTGGCGTTTGTCTTGATTCGCCGCCTCACCAGAGGTCACTCACAACGACCCCTCTGGCTGACCAAGGCAGGAATCTTGAGCCATTTGCAGGTATTAGACAGCCACCATCAGATGGCATTGTCCACATTACGTCCGAACCCGTGGAGGTTTAGAGAGCCGACTCACAGATGGTTCTGAGGTCGATACTCCATACTCCGATGATGTTGTCGGGTTCGTAACATTAATCAATTACATAATCGTTTAAAAAACAAATGTTTCAGTTGATGATTGGTTTATCTGGTATACTCCATCACAACCATAGAGAGTAGTGAAAAGGATATGAATATAATATACAATGGTGTTCAGCTCTGAGTGGTGACACATGGCCTAATTGGCACCATATTGACTAGAGTATAGATTGAAAGATAGGCGTAAGCCACCAATGTGGCACACACAGTGTGGTAATGGAACTGAAGATAGGGGCAGACAGATTCATTTTAAACGACATGGAAGTGTGCGAGGAACTCAATAAGAAATTTCGAGAGGTCTTCACAGTAGAGCAAGGAGAAGTCCAAGAAATAAGAGAGGGAATATCTAACTAGACACCACTAGAGGAGTTTGTGATTACCAGGGGGAAGGTGAGGAAGTATCTGCTAGAGATGGAGGTGACAAAGGCTATAGGCCCGGATGGAATCTCACTATGGATACTAAAGGAAGTAAAGGAGTTAAGGGATACCTGCCACTCTCCATGGTGTATAACAAATCACTGGTAACAGGTGAACTGCCAAAAATTTGGGAGACAGCTAATGTGGTCCCGATATTCAAGAAGGGCAATAGACAGGAGGCACTGAACTACAGGCCATTGTCCCAAACTTGCATACCTTGCAAGATGATGAAGATTTGCAAAAAATGCTAGTGGCACATCTGGAGAGAAAGAACTTTGTAACACAACATCATCATGGGTTCAGAGAGGGAGCCGGTCGGCCGAGCGGACAGCACGCTGGACTTGTGTGATCCTGTGGTCCTGGGTTCGATCCCAGGCGCCGGCGAGAAACAATGGGCAGAGTTTCTTTCACCCTATGCCCCTGTTACCTAACAGTAAAATAGGTACCTGGGTGTTAGTCAGCTGTCACGGGCTGCTTCCTGGGGGTGGAGGCCTGGTCGAGGACCGGGCCACGGGGACACTAAAGCCCCGAAATCCTCTCAAGATAACCTCAAGAGATGGCAAATCATGCCTCACATGATTAATTTAATTCTATGACCAGGCAAGAAAGAGAGGGAGGGAGGGGCAGACTGCATATTTTTGGAGTGCCAGAAAGCCTTTGACACAGTACTGTACCACATAAGAGGCTAGTGCACAAGCTGGAGATGCAGGCAGGAGTGAAAGGGAAGGTACTCCAATGGATAAGGGAGTACCTAAGCAACAGAAGACAGTGAATTACTGTGATTGGGGAGGTCTCAGAGTGGTGGAGCGTCATCAGTGGAGTCCCACAGTTATCAGTCCTTGGACCTATACTGTTTCTGATATATGTAAATGATCTCCCAGAGGGAATAGACTCGTTCCTCTCAATGTTTGCTGATGATTCAAAAATTATGAGGATGATTAAGAAAAAGGAAGATAGTTTGAGGCTACAAGATGATCTAGACAAACTGAAGGAATGGTCTAACAATGGTCAACCCAAGTACAATGTAAGGTAATGAAACTAGGTGAAGGAAATAGGCCCGATGCTGGATACTAAATGGGAAATGAAGTTTTACATGAAACAGACAGAGAGAAAGATCTAGGAGTTGAAATTATGCCAAACCTGTCTTCTGAAGCCCACATCAAAATAGTAACATCAGCGGCATATGTGAGGCTGGCTAACATCAGAACTGCCTTCAGAAACCTGTGTAAGGAATCTTTCAGAACCCTGTATACTACAAATGTAAGGCCAATTCTGGAGTATACGGCTACAGAGGTATGCCATTAGGCTAGTCCCAGAACTTAGAGGCACGAGTTATGAGGAAAGGCTGCGTGAATTGCACCTCACATTACTGGAAGACAGAAGAGCTCGGGGGTGACATGATCACCACATACAAAATTCTCAGGGGAATTGACAGGGTCGACAAGGATGGATTATTTGACATGGGTGGTACATGCACTAAAAGACACAGGTGGAAGCTGAGTACCCAAATGAGCCACAGAGACATTAGAAAGAAATTTTTCAGTGTCTGAGTAGTTAATAAATGGAATGCACTAGGAATTGATGTGGTGGAAGTTTACTCCATACACAGTTTCAAATGTAGATATGATAGAGCTTGAGAAGCTCAGGAATCTGTACTCCAATAGATTGACGGTTGAGAGGTGGGACCAAAGAGCTGAAGCTCAACTCCTGAAAGCACACCTTGGTGAGTACACATGACAGCAGGCTCTTCATAGTACAAGTAACCATGAAATGGTAAAAGGAATATTGTCATGGGTTCAGGTAAACTCCATTGCATCCACAGAGAGCTATTATATCCATATGTGCATCATACATGTACAACCCAAGCAGTAATTGTTCAAATTGTTGTAAGACAATGACTGCGCTTCCCTAGTAATATTCATGGCTATAACCACATTCCCACCTAGTAACCATGAAATGGTAGCAGGATTTTTTCATGGGTCAAGGTAGACTCCTTTACAGCCACATGATGCAAATATTTACCTGATTTACCTGAGGGCCACTAAGACTAGTAGCCTCGACGAGGACAGGAAGCCGGCAGCTTGTAAAAGTCCTCCCAATTGCCTTGATGATCCTTTCCAGGTGGTTTTTAAACCTAAAAATATAAAATCAAATATATCCATATTTTCATCATGTAAAACCCGGAGTAATTGTTTAAATCGTCATATGATGATAACCCCATGAATCAACAAATGACGATAACCACTGTCTAAGGGTTGATCAATAATGGCCATTCATTAGCCCACTTGTAAATAGTTGAATCACTCATAATCTTACAGCACTACATATAGGTTTTGAAAGAATTCAAGCTTTCTATTACCATTTTGATAATTGATGTTTTTTTTTGTGAGTTCTCTACATTAATTGATATTTGCTTTGTTTTCAAAATATATTTAGTACAGTATTCATTAAGTGAACACTGAGTGTGTACTCAGTCTTCATATTTAAGTGCCCTGATGTTTTTAATTTTCAACTTGAATGTATAATGTGACATGACTCTAACATCTTGATTGGTGTTATAATGTGGAGGATGAAGGATGGAAGTGACTGTCTAATATACACACAATAATAAAAACAAAATTTCTTATATTTGCTGCAAGCAAAGGATGATGTTTTATTGGATAAATAAAAGAACTGTGTAAAATGATAAGGGTTTTAATGGGAGTATAGTAGAAGATTGCTGTGAGTAAATGCAATAAGAATCAGATGCTTGTATACAAATCACAAAGTAATATTAACTTGAGTGGAGAGATGCTCGAAGCTATGTAAATGTGAGATAATCATTATAATTTTCATTGTCAGAAATAGGAAGGCTTAAAAGTAATCCCATAGATCTAGATATTTCATACCAGCATATCTAAAGGGTCTAATAGTTCGGGAGTCAAAAACATTTAGTTGAGTAATAAGCTATGTCCCAACCCTTTTCATAGTTTACATGTAGAGTGCTCATAATTGGGAAATGGCTTGAATTAAACAGAATACCTGTAATTAGAATGTCACACTCAGTTTACTTGATATCTTTGAAGATACTTTGCATTGAACATAATTTGACATTGGGTTTACTGTACTTAATATTATCAATGATATCTTTTAGTTTGTAACTTTAATATTATATGGCCATGTTACACAGCTCTTGGGCCTGACTGAACTGGAACGTGGGTTCTACTTGGAAGGGTCACTACGACGAGTATTGTGCGCCCTCATCCTACTAGGGTACCACCTCATAGCTACCTATGTCCTCGGAACTGCTGAAGGTGACCTGGAAATGGCACAAGTTATTCTTGATGATCATTTAAAGGTAATAATTTTATACACAGTACTGTATTATCTCAATGTAATATTGGATTCCAGTAGTCAATTGCATTTTATTTTAATTAATAATAATTATATTATTACAGTAGTTTCATAAATTTAAATGTTTGTATTAAAATATAATCTATAATTATCTGATTTTTTTGTAATGTCATAACATATACTCCTGAGATATAATGTAGCATCTTTCAGGATTACCAACACATTGTAAGGGTAAATTAATTGTATCATCTTACAATATACAGTATTTATCATTTTGCATGTTATGTTCTGATGTTATCTAAAGGTGTTATGTTTTGACAGCTGTACCCAAATGGTGCTTGGTTCCTATTCTTTGCCGGTCGTTTAGAATATGTCAAAGGGAACTTCGATCTCGCAATTGCTAAGTACAAAATATCGCTAAATAGCCAGGATGAGTGGAGGCAGTTCCATCACTTGTGTTACTGGGAACTTATGTGGTGCTGCATTATGAGTGCCCGATTTAAGTAAGTACATCTTTATATTTGTTGTTGTTTAAGATTCGCTACCTGGAACAAAAAGTTCCAAGCAGCACGGGCTATTTTTGCATTTCATGTTATAGTAAATAATTATCAAAAGAAGGTGCCAATTTTGCATAAAAAGCATGATTTTTTTTTAGTATACAGTAATGTCAAAACTAGCTTTTGAGTTTGACTGGTTTTATTTTATATATCAGCTTGACCTTTATTTTGCTCATGAAGATTCTTAATCTTAATTATCGTTAGATTGCAATTGCTTAGGATGTTTTTTTTGTTTTCTGTGCTCATCTATGAGTTGGCAAGTGTGTACAACTTTATGTACATACAGTAACCTGATTGCCTAGATTGTAGATGTGATCATGAAAGATTTAGAATAGTGTTAATAAGTCTCCAAAGAAAAATATTTCTATTTTTTAGTGTACACAGGGTAAGACAATAGTAATAAAAATAATACTGATAATAATATTAAGAGTAATAATGATAATAATAATAATATTAATAATAAAAATATTAATTATAATAATAATAATATTATTATTATTATTATCATTATTATTATTATTATTATTATTATTATTATTATTATTATTATTATTATTATTACAGTATTAATATTATTATTATTATTAATAATAATATTAACAATAATAATACTGTATTAATAATAATAATAATGCACAATGAAATCACATTAACATGATGTATCAGTGAGAAAATCAGTAGGAGCCGTGAGGATGATTTAAACCCGCCATATGGTAATCCCAAGCACACAACCTAAACCACTATACCACGACATGGTTCCTACTGATTTTCACATTGATATGTGATTTCATTGTGCATTTGACGAGAAGCTTTGGAGGTAGAACACCTAGACCACTCTGCCAGAGTGCATTGGGGGGGGGGGCAATCCTGGACTACTGATTGGGCTTCAATAGTAGCCTCTGGACCCTTAGACAGTTCAGTTGAATTCCAGGTTGCACTGCTTTTGACCATGTTGTGGTGTAGTGGTGAAGGGCGTGTGCTTGAATTACCAAGTGTGCAGGTTCGAATCCTCCTCATGGCTCCTACTGATTTTCTTAATGATAATAATATTAATAATAATAATAATATAGGATAAAAACCCACATATATGTACATATTTGTTAATTTTATGTAAAGATTTATGCCAAGTCTTTTGCACTCTACTGAGTGCTTTGTCAAGGTGTGACTATGTGGTTAGGACGAGACTTACATCTCAACGACTAATGCGGCGACTGCCCAGGAGCCAATCCTCTTATCCTTCTTGACCTCCTGAACATGTCACCTCTTTTCCCGACTGCTGATGCACCTGCGGTGATTTTGTCTGTGTAATTATGATCAGGTGTCCTTTCTGTTATCCTGATATTCTGAGAACTGGAGTTGTTATTAATAGAGGTATTCATCTGGATGCTATCCCTCATAACAATCTCCATAAGTAATAATAATAATAATAATAGTTCCCTCGGATAAATACAGGTAAATTTTTAAAAGTTTCATAAAATTTAAGTGTTTAACACTGGAATATGAAGTTGAGTTTATAATTAAATGCTACTGCAAATGTATAGAATAATGAAAGGTTTACTCTTAATAAGTTTTATGGTAATACTGTACTTATAACTAATACACTGACAGATACTAAAAATTAATATATTGTCAAGTAATTATATTTATGGTTTTATTCTTTCTGCATTAACCACTTAACTGCGCCAGCCGCGTATTCTCGGTCGGCGGGAAACTGCGCCAACCGAGAAAACTCTTTTTGATTTTTCCGTACCCATTCTAAATGTGTGCAAGGTTGATTGTGTACAAAATGGACTGTTAGGACCTCCAGTGAGAGGCAGCCATCTTGGAAAAATTCCCAGAATGCCCTAGGGCTGCTGGCTGGGTTAGTACTGAATGAGCAACCATGGGGTTGCACATGCGCCTCTGGCTTCCAAACGCCTGCCCGACACTGTGTTGAAAGATAACGCTCTGTTGGTGAAATTCAAACCTTATTGTTTGAAGAACATAAGGGTCATAATATTGGTGAAGCTAGGCGCAATAAGGACCTAACACAAAGGTCGGATGCAAGTGATAGAGCACCTATGAGGACGATACAGTGAGCGTATCCAGTTGTAACTCTGAGCGTCACCCTTGCAATCCTATGCTATCTCCAATTTATTTAGATGATACATAGATGAATCGTTTTCTGTGTTCAGTGATGATGCATCTGATACAAGTAGCATAGATGAACAGTGTTGGCAGCTTCCATGGTGGTGTTTTCCATAGATATTTTCAAGAATACCTGAATCTCTTCCTGACTGTCAGACACTCTTTGATGCTAGCTGAATCTCTTCCTGTGTGGGACCATACAAAGCGATCTTTTCAAGACTATCTTACAAATTGATCTTTTCCTATAATCTTTTCAATACTACCTTATGCTTTACAAGCTTGGCTACATACAACCTACAAGTACTAAAGCCAAGGGTGTACGTGAGTGCGTTATTTGCAAGCACACAGAATGAAGAAACAGGAAGCGAAAATTTATCTGTACCTGGAGCAACGAGAGCGAAGTCGCGCTGTGCACCATGGACTACGTCATTGATTATTACTCACTTCCAAAGTACTTAGTGTGTAATACAGTGTGTTAATACAGTGTGTAAATAGTGTGTGAAACTGTACATATTGTAATTTTAGTGAATTTTTAACAAGTGATATTGGGACAATAAACATTTATTGTGGACACATTACTGACACATGTCTCACAGTTCCATGGAACATTATAAACGTTTTACTGTATACATATTGTAAAGGACACAAATATGTATCATATACGATAAAGAAACAAATAAAAGCGCACTGGAAATACATAGAACAAATAATTGAAAATATATTTGTGGCAACACCCAGTGCTTGAATGGCTCGTGCTATCGTGTCTGGGCAATTCATGAATGGGCGATCAGGCCCTGATGATGTCACAGTGCATCTTGTCCACGTCCCCACAGCCAAAGTAAGTGGAATTTGGTATTTATTTTTACATAGACATGTTCAGGGAAGGAAATCTATCATTTTACAAGGAAAAAAACATTTTTGGGAACACTATTTCATGCACACAGGGGGAAATTTCACAATAAACTCAGCGCAGCACGGTGGTTAATATATGGAATATTAAGAAAAGTAAGTTCCAGTTAATTAGAACATTCAAATGTGTATTCAAATCTTTTACATTCAAATTCAAATCCTAATGTTTATTCTGGTAAAAGCACATACTTTTAGTACATACAAAAGTATGTACAGATGGGGGGGGGGGAAGGGGAGGTAAACGCTAAGGAGCAGAAGTGCTAATCGCATGAAGGGTTGCTTGTTTGGTTTCTTTCTATGGGAGTTAGTGTGATCTTTTGGGATGTAGCTTGCACAGGTTAACCAGACAGTGGTCTGTTTTGATTCGCCTACGTTTCTAGGCCTTTCCCCAGTCGATGGCAATTATTACATACTTTAAATGTAAAGTGCTCATAGGCCATTGCTCCCTGCACCTCTCTGAGGGAACCAGGTTCTGGCTCATGGTTCCCAGTAGGCATGAGAATGCCTGTGACTGACTACCCCGAACTAATATAGCACATATCAGTTCAGATAGCTTCAAGGCGTCTCTTGGATAGCTTGGGTGAGTCTTACCCAAAAAATAGCGTTTCATTACATTCAATGCTGGTTTTTTTAATTCTAAAAAACTGTGAACATACAATTGCAATAGTTTTCACTTAATAAAATTAATATGTATCAATAAAGCTATAGAATCTTAAATACAGTAAATCAGTGTGCACTCATTAGCAATAAGTATCAACTAGAAAGCTGTCATTATCTTAATTTTTGTTCATTTTTGTTTATACTGTACTTATGTATGTTAGCTACATAATCTTCTCAGCCTGTTGCCTTGTTTTGATAATTACATCTCTTAGTATTAAGTGTTAATTTCAAATGCATAAGTAAAACTACACATTCATCTTAAGGTTAGCCTGAAAAGCTTTGCATGATTAGCCTCGCCCGAAATGCTATGCATACTACTGGCTTTAGGCATTGTATGTACTATCTCTATCTTTAAATCCAACATTATGTATGTAACTCAATGTATGTATCTTTACCTGAATAAAAAATCTAATCTAATCTAATCTAATTAGCAGATTTATAGGAAGTATTAATACCTATTTAATGTTTTATATCATTAAAATTATGTTATTATTACTATCACTATTTACAGTGTAAGCTCTTTGTCCACATTAGAGTCCAATTGTAAACTCTCCAGCTATAGTTTTAATAATTAATAATATTTAATTGTGTCGGGGGAGAGGCAGCTAGAGTGTATTCATACACGTTAGGCTTATATCAAGGTCCCCCCACCAAGGTCAAATTACGGACCCTACCCACAATGCAACCCCACAGCAAGTTGAGTACCCCACAGCTAACTCCTGAGTACCTACTTATTGTTAGGTGAATAGGGGCATTAGGCAACAGGAAATACGCCCAAGCATTTCTGTCCCGTTCGGGATTCAACCCCAGAATTCTCGAGTGAGAGTTGAGAACGAACCTGATTGTACTACTGGGACCCTACCGGCTTTTACTGCCATATTATAATTTACCAGTATTTACTTGAGGGCCACTAACACTCTAGTGACCTTGACAAGGACAGGAAGCCAGCAGCTTGTCAAAGGTCTCTCTATTTGTTCTAATGATTTTTTTCAAGTTGGATTTTAAAATTCAGCAATATTTTGGCATTTATGGCTTTGGCAGGTAGGCAGTTTTTGTGTGGGAAAAAGCATCTGTTTTCTGTCCTACATATACATTATATCAATTAGTTCTTGTTATTTTTATTGTTGATAACATTTGGTTTGAATATTTTAAGTTGAATGGAACAGAGCAATAACATCATATTTAGTCTAAATTTAAATTATAAATTGTCCATTACATTATGTTTCAATCTTTCAATCGACAACTGATGCAACACTTTACAGGGATGCCCAAGATTATGCCGACAAGCTACTGCAGGAGAGCAAGTGGTCAAAGGCAACTTATGCTTACCAGAAGGCTTGCTGCATGTGTATGAGGATGGATGAACTCACACCTACTGAGAAGCAAGAACTCAGCGAGACAATGAGGTAAGCATATAGTACATTGGTCTACATTCTCAACTCATAATCAAGGATCCCGGGTTCGATCCTTAGACAAGACAGACATGGTTGGGTGCGTTTCTTTTTACCTGATGCCGCTGTTCACCTAAAAGTAAATGCAGTAGATTCTAAAGAGTTAAGCAACTGTTGCTGGTTGCATCCAGGAGAAGGTCAGTAGTTCGACCTAGGATGAACCTCAATACTAGCCTAATACAGGCTTCCTGTCCCCTGACAATTTGGAATTTTATTTTTATATACAGTACAGTGCATCCTCACTCTAACGAACCGCGCTTTAATGAATTCCCAGAAGATCCGAACAAATTGAATTCGGTACTAAATGTTCAGTGGAACATACAAATGTTCGATGAAGCGAGGATTGTTCGTCCAAGCAATTGTTCGTCCAAGAGATCACCAAGACCGAGCTGTCATAGTTGATGACAGCCAGTCATCAACTATGATTCACCAAAGTGTAAACAGTTGTACAGTATTATTTTTTGCTTACCCATTGTTTCCAGTGAGAAATGGTTGAAGAATGGTGTCGGGGAGGCAGGTTGCATCATTGGTGAGAGTTGGAGTCTGGGGGGCAAGTGGTGTCAGTAGTTGGGAGTTTAGTGTCAAGAGACAGGCGGTGGAAGTTATTCTCATTGGGGGGTTGTCAGAGAAGACCTGGTGGTGTCAGTGGTGGAAGTTGTCAGGGAAGGCAGGTGGTGTCAGGGGAGGCAAGTGGTGGCAGGGGAGGCAGGTGGTGTCAGGGGAGGCAGGTGGTGTCAGGGGAGGCAGGTGGTGTCAGGGGAGGCAGGTGGTGTCAGGGGAGGCAGATGTTGTCAGGTGTTGTCAGGGGAGGCAGGTGGGGTTAGTGGGTGAGCTCTGGTTATCAGTTAGCATCAGGGGGAAGGGGAGGGTGAGAGTGGAGACCTGTCCATCCACCAGTTATGGTGGTCTGCTGACTCCGCACCACGTGGCTGCCTCGATACTATACTCACTTGATGCTTTTCACAAAATTAGGAGAGAAAATGTTACCATTTCAGTGGCCTGTAACACATTGCTCTATCATATTCCTTAGTCAAAATGAAGAATGCATAATAAATGGGTGTCAGTGGTGAGGGGGATGTATTAGGGGGGAGTTAGGACTTGTTTTTCAGGCGTGTTGAATGAGACACCTTCAAGTCTGGCCCTTCTCCCCGCTGCTGCCTCCATACACACTGTACTAAAATCAAGAATATTTTATCATTTTAGTTGCTTGTAACACTGCTTTATTATATTATGTAGTCAAAATGAAGAATTTTGGGTGGGGGATGGTGTCAGTGGTGGGGGATGGTGTCAGTGGTGGGGGATGGTGTCAGTGGTGGGGGATGGTGTCAGTGATGGGGAGATGATGTCAGTGGTGGAGTATGGTGTCAAGAGAAATTTGGTGGTGGGGGATAGTGTCAGTGGTGGGGGATGGTGTCAAGAGAAGTTTGGTGGTGGGGGATAGTGTCAGTGGTGGGGGATGGTGTCAAGAGAAGTTTGGTGGTGGGGGATAGTGTCAGTGGTGGGGGATGGTGTCAAAAGAAGTCTGGTGGTGGTTATCTTGAGATGATTTCGGGGCTTTTTTTTTTAGTGTCCCCGCGGCCCAGTCCTCGACCAGGCCTCCACCCCCAGGAAGCAGCTCGTGACAGCTGACTAACACCCAGGTACCTATTTTACTGCTAGGTAACAGGGGCATAGGGTGAAAGAAACTCTGCCCATTGTTTCTCACCGGCGCCTGGGATCGAACCCAGGACCACAGGATCACAAGTCCAGCGTGCTGTCCGCTCGGCCGACCGGCTCCGTGGGGATAGTGTCCATGGTGGGGGATGGTGTCAGTGGTGGGGGATGGTGTCAAGAGAAGTTTGGTGGTGGGGGGATGGTGTCAGTGGTGGGGATTGCGCACGCATAGACACGATAAAGCACCTAAATTATTGGGATCGTCTCAAAGCCCTCCAAATGTACTCGCTAGAAAGAAGACGAGAGAGATATCAAATAATATACACGTGGAAGATACTGGAGGGCCAGGTCCCAAATCTACACAGTAAAATAACAACGTACTGAAGTGAACGATAAGGAAGAAAATGCAGAATAGAACCAGTGAAGAGCAGGGGTGCCATAGGCACAATCAGAGAACACTGTATAAACATCAGAGGTCCACGGTTGTTCAACACCCTCCCAGCAAGCATAAGAAATATTGCCGGAACAACTGTGGACATTTTCAAGAGGAAACTAGATTTATTCCTCCAAGGAGTGCCGGACCAACCGGGCTGTGGTGGGTATGGGGCCCTGCGGGCCGCTCCAAGCAACAGCCTAGTGGACCAAACTCTCACAAGTCAAGCCTGGCCTCGGGCCGGGCTTGGGGAGTAGAAGAATTCCCAGAACCCCATCAACCAGGTATCAACCAACCAGGGGATGGTGTCAAGAGAAGTTTGGTGGTGAGGGGATGATGTCAGTGGTGGGGGATGGTGTCAGAGAAGTGACTGATGATGAAGAGCTGGCAGATTATCATCGACACCTAAAGGGCATGAAAGATATTATAATGAAGCAGCGCACAACGAAGAAAGAAACTAAAATTCAAAAGTTTTTGGTACGTTTTCACAGTAGGCCTATAGGACCAGCACCCAGCACTAGCAAGGACTCCCTTCGCGAGTCAGGTGCAATTGCTCCTAATGCAAATGTGTCCTGGCATATGTATTAAAAAAAAAATTAAGAAGGTTTTTGGGGCCAGACGGATGGAACGAAATCCGCACTGGAATGAATCGGCTTTGCCTCATATAGTTTGTTCAAGTGAGGACACACTGTATATACAAGAGTTCTTACATTCTTGTACAGCCACTAGCATGCATAGCGTTTCAGGCAAGTCCTTAATCCTAATATTTCCCAGAATACAACCCCGCCAAATCGTTTAACAACTAGGTACCCATTGTACTGTTGGGTAAACAGAGCCTACAGTTAAGGATTGATGCCCAGTAAATCCTCCTCGTCAGGAAACAAACCCAGGACAAAGTGCTCGCGAAGCGTCAGGGAAGTGTCTTACCACTACACCACGGGGACTGCTTTATGTTATTGTAATGTACCGGAAAACCCCAAGAAATTGCAGATTTGTACAGTACATGATGCAGGGTTCCCACACAAATCTATTTTTTTTCAGGTATTTGAAAAATAATGTGATAATTTTGTACCATACAAACTACAATTTGATAATACAGTACTGATGTTGGTGTTGTACCCACTTTCCCATATACAGGTGAAGATGTGAGTGAAAGTAAATATTTTATGAATTATTTTGAAGAGCCATTCATGCAATCTCTTGTTGAAGAAACCAACAGGTATGCATTGCAACTGCAAGTTATTGCAGATGGCTATTACCTGCTTCACTTATGACACAATGGAAAGACATCAGTGTGGCCGATGCATGCAATGGACAGAAATGGACATTTGAAATGGACAATACTCCAGAATTGGTCTTACTTATGTGGCATACAAGGTTCTGAATGATTCCTTACACAGGCTCCTGAAGGCAGTTCTGATGTTAGCCAGCCTCGCATATGCCACAGATGTTGTTCTTTTGATGTGGGCTTCAGGAGACAGGGTTGGTGTGATATCAACTCCTAGATCCTTCTCTCTGTCCATTTCATGAAAAACTTCATCTCCCTTTTTGTATCATGTGTCTGGCCACCTGTTTCCACTGCCTAGTTTCATTACCTTACATCATTTACTCGGGTTGAACTTTAGTAGCCATTTGTTGGACCATTCATGCAGTCTGTCTAGGTCATCTTGTAGTCTCATACTGTCTTCCTCCGTCTTAATCCTCCTCATAATGTTTGCATCATCAGCAAACAATAAGAGGAATGATTCTATACCTTCTGGAAGATCATTTACATATACAGTATAAGAAACAGTATGGATCCAAGGACTGAACCCTGTGGGACCCCACTGGTGATGTCTCGCCAATCTGAGACCTCACCTCGCACAATGACTCGCTGCCTTCTGTTACTTAGGTACTCCCTTATCCAATGGAGTACCTTCCCTTTCACTCCTGCCTGTATCTCCTGCTTTCGCACTAGTCTCTGGTGTGGCACTGTGTCAAAGGCTTTCACCAAACTTTCACCAAACTGACACCAAAGGGATGGTGTCAGTGGTGGGGATTGCGCACGCATAGACACGATAAAGCACCTAAATTATTGGGATCGTCTCAAAGCCCTCCAAATGTACTCGCTAGAAAGAAGACGAGAGAGATATCAAATAATATACACGTGGAAGATACTGGAGGGCCAGGTCCCAAATCTACACAGTAAAATAACAACGTACTGAAGTGAACGATAAGGAAGAAAATGCAGAATAGAACCAGTGAAGAGCAGGGGTGCCATAGGCACAATCAGAGAACACTGTATAAACATCAGAGGTCCACGGTTGTTCAACACCCTCCCAGCAAGCATAAGAAATATTGCCGGAACAACTGTGGACATTTTCAAGAGGAAACTAGATTTATTCCTCCAAGGAGTGCCGGACCAACCGGGCTGTGGTGGGTATGGGGCCCTGCGGGCCGCTCCAAGCAACAGCCTAGTGGACCAAACTCTCACAAGTCAAGCCTGGCCTCGGGCCGGGCTTGGGGAGTAGAAGAACTCCCAGAACCCCATCAACCAGGTATCAACCAACCAGGGGATGGTGTCAAGAGAAGTTTGGTGGTGGGGGGATGATGTCAGTGGTGGGGGATGGTGTCAGAGAAGTGACTGATGATGAAGAGCTGGCAGATTATCATCGACACCTAAAGGGCATGAAAGATATTATAATGAAGCAGCGCACAACGAAGAAAGAAACTAAAATTCAAAAGTTTTTGGTACGTTTTCACAGTAGGCCTATAGGACCAGCACCCAGCACTAGCAAGGACTCCCTTCGCGAGTCAGGTGCAATTGCTCCTAATGCAAATGTGTCCTGGCATATGTATTAAAAAAAAAAATTAAGAAGGTTTTTGGGGCCAGACGGATGGAACGAATTCCGCACTGGAATGAATCGGCTTTGCCTCATATAGTTTGTTCAAGTGAGGACACACTGTATATACAAGAGTTCTTACATTCTTGTTCAGCCACTAGCATGCATAGCGTTTCAGGCAAGTCCTTAATCCTAATATTTCCCAGAATACAACCCCGCCAAATCGTTTAACAACTAGGTACCCATTGTACTGTTGGGTAAACAGAGCCTACAGTTAAGGATTGATGCCCAGTAAATCCTCCTCGTCAGGAAACAAACCCAGGACAAAGTGCTCGCGAAGCGCCAGGGAAGTGTCTTACCACTACACCACGGGGACTGCTTTATGTTATTGTAATGTACCGGAAAACCCCAAGAAATTGCAGATTTGTACAGTACATGATGCAGGGTTCCCACACAAATCTATTTTTTTTTCAGGTATTTGAAAAATAATGTGATAATTTTGTACCATACAAACTACAATTTGATAATACAGTACTGATGTTGGTGTTGTACCCACTTTCCCATATACAGGTGAAGATGTGAGTGAAAGTGAATATTTTATGAATTATTTTGAAGAGCCATTCATGCAATCTCTTATTGAAGAAACCAACAGGTATGCATTGCAACTGCAAGTTATTGCAGATGGCTATTACCTGCTTCACTTATGACACAATGGAAAGACATCAGTGTGGCCGATGCATGCAATGGACAGAAATGGACATTTGAAATGGACAATACTCCAGAATTGGTCTTACATATGTGGCATACAAGGTTCTGAATGATTCCTTACACAGGCTCCTGAAGGCAGTTCTGATGTTAGCCAGCCTCGCATATGCCACAGATGTTGTTCTTTTGATGTTGGCTTCAGGAGACAGGGTTGGTGTGATATCAACTCCTAGATCCTTCTCTCTGTCCATTTCATGAAAAACTTCATCTCCCTTTCTGTATCATGTGTCTGGCCACCTGTTTCCACTGCCTAGTTTCATTACCTTACATCATTTACTCGGGTTGAACTTTAGTAGCCATTTGTTGGACCATTCATGCAGTCTGTCTAGGTCATCTTGTAGTCTCATACTGTCTTCCTCCGTCTTAATCCTCCTCATAATGTTTGCATCATCAGCAAACAATGATAGGAATGATTCTATACCTTCTGGAAGATCATTTACATATACAGTATAAGAAACAGTATGGATCCAAGGACTGAACCCTGTGGGACCCCACTGGTGATGTCTCGCCAATCTGAGACCTCACCTCGCACAATGACTCGCTGCCTTCTGTTACTTAGGTACTCCCTTATCCAATGGAGTACCTTCCCTTTCACTCCTGCCTGTATCTCCTGCTTTCGCACTAGTCTCTGGTGTGGCACTGTGTCAAAGGCTTTCTGGCAATCCAAAAATATGCAATCTGCCCACCCCTCTCTTTCTTGTCTGATTCTTGTTGCCTGATCGTTGAATTCAATTAATCCTGTGAGGCAGGACTTGCCATCCCTGAAACCATATTGGTGTTGTGACACAAAGTTCCTTCGCTCCAGATGTTCGACTACCTTTTCTGCACAATTTTCTCCATTAGCTTGCATGGTATGCAAGTTAGGGACACTGGCCTGTAGTTCAGTGCCTCCTGTCTATCCCCCTTCTTGTATATCTGGACTTGTATGTATATCTTGTATATCGGTATATGTATACCGATATACAAGAAGTATATACGTCTTCCAGAAATTTGGAAGATGTTTGCCGCCTTCCAAATTTCTGGCAGTTCACCTGTTACCAGTAATTTCTTATACACCATGGAGAGTGGCAGGCACAGTGCTTCTGCTCCTTCCTTTAGTATCCATAGTGATATTCCATCCGGGCCTATAGCGTTTGTCACATCCAACTCTAACAAAAGCTTCCTTACATCTCCACTGGTAATCTCAAATTCCTCTAGATGTGCCTGGTTAATTATTCCTTCTCTTATCTATGGAACTTCTCCTTGCTTCTAATGTGAAGACTTCCTGGAATTTTATATTGAGTTCCTCGCACACTTCTTTGTCGTTTGTAGTGAGTCTGTCTGCCCCTATCCTCAGTTTCATTACCTGTTCCTTCACTGTTGTCTTTCTCCTGATTGTGCTGCTACTTGCAGGTGCTGGTGCTGCTGCTTGAGGTGCTGCTTGCTCGGTGTGTGAACCCAAGGCATTTTCCGTGGCTCAACCTCTTCCAGCAGGTCGGATAGTCCGGTACACGGCTGGTTTGATCTTCTCTGCTCTTCGCATCTGGTCTTTTTTATGTTGTTTTATCATCATTTGTATGGTGATCAGGTGGCTTTGTTGATGGTGTCCCACCGGAGAGCTTTGTCTCAGTAACAGTATGACGTTTCCTGGCATTCTTTCTGCCATTTTCTCTCTTCGTAGGTTGTTTTCTATTTCTGATCAGGTTGTCTTGTCCTTTCTGTCTTGGCTTTTTCAGGACCGTCATTTGATGCCTAATACTGTCGCCTCGCATCGTGCGATGCTGGCAGAGCTGCTCCAGCAAGCGTTCGGGGTGGATGTCACTTCTGCCCCGTTCCGTAAGTTTTTGCGTGCTTTGTTTCACCTCCGGCCTGCTCAGTACTTTGTTTCACCTCTGGCCTGCTCATGCACCACCTGAGTCATCCTGATCCTTGGACAGGGTACTCTATCTTTCCTCTCCTCGGTTTGTGGTAGTCTCTTCAGTTGAAGATTGTTTTTTCAAGGCTCTGTTTTTGTTGGCATTGGCCTCTGGGTTGGTCCGTGAGCTACATGCTCTCCTCTGGCACAGGAGTTTCTGCTCTTTCGGTCCTGGTCGGTTTGTTCAGTTTCAGCCTTCTTCTTTTCTGGGAAAGAATGGTAGGTCCTTGGGTCATTGATGCTTGATTGGTCAGACTAGGGGTGCATCATGTGTTGTGTCCGGTTGTGGTTTTTCACCGTTATTTGTTCGCTTCGGCTTTGGTTGCTGGGATGCTCTTTGGGTTGGTCCAGTTTTCCTCATTCCCTGTTTCAGGGCTCGGGTTTCTCATGTCGTCTAGCCAGCATGCGGTGTATCCTCGTGCCCATGACTTTACGAAGTTTGCTGCATTGGCTGCCGTGTTTGGCAACATGTCCTGGGCAGATATTTGGGTGTGGGGATTTTGGAGGTCAAACAGGTTCCTGGTTGACCGTTATTTGGTTAATGTTCCTGCTCCTGGGCGTTCCTGTGTTGCTTTGGGTCGCAGGTTGCAGCCAGTTGTCTCGACTTTGTGTTGAGGAGTGTGTGGTGGCCACCTCCTGGGTAAGTCCCTCTTTTCCTCATCTTTGGTTATGTAGCTCCAGGGAGCCGAAGGGGGCTCCCCACAGAAAACCAGTGTTGAATGTAATGAAATGCCATTTTCTAGGTGAGCCCCAGAGGCTCCCTGGCAACCCTCCCTCCCTTCAGTCAGCAGTTTTTCCCGTTGTTTGATGCTTAGCTTCTGAACTGAAGTGCTGGGTAGCTGGCGCATGAAGGTTTGGGGCTCCCCCTTCCCCCTCTCGGGGAGGGGAGGGAAGTGAAGACGAGTGGCATGGCAGCTGAGTGTGACGTTTGCTTGTTTCCTTGGGATTGGAAGGAATTCTGCCTCTCTTTTCGTTTTGTTGTTGTACTTTTCTTACCATGTGGGGTTTGTTTTGCTATACATACCTTTCTGGGTGCCTATCTTGAGGTTATCTTGAGATGATTTCGGGGCTTTAGTGTCTCCGCGGCCCGGTCCTCGACCAGGCCTCCACCCCCAGGAAGCAGCCCGTGACAGCTGACTAACTCCCAGGTACCTATTTACTGCTAGGTAACAGGGGCATTCAGGGTGAAAGAAACTTTGCCCATTTGTTTCTGCCTCGTGCGGGAATCGAACCCGCGCCACAGAATTACGAGTCCTGCGCGCTATCCACCAGGCTACGAGGCCTAACCCCAGTCGATGGCACATAAGGAAAACCCCCAACTACAGGGTTTTTTTTTCCAGGACCATTGCTCCCTGAAACCTCTCTGAAGGAGCCAGGTTCTGGCTAGTGGTCCCCAGTAGGCTGAACTCCATAGACTAATGCCCTTGTCTAATATATCACACATAGCCCGATAGCTCAAGGAAGCTTCTAGGGCTCACCCAGAAAATTGAGTTTCATTACATTCGATGCTGGTTATTTGTGGATACATAAGTGACACATGTATTTCAGTTCCTTGGAACATTATGAACGTTCTACTGTGTACATGTTGTAGGAACACAAATGTGCATCACATATGACAAAAAAATAATTAAAAAGCATTGAAAATGCATTGAAAAAATTGATGAAAATATATTTGTGGCAACTCAAGTCTTGAATCGCCTGCGCGACCGTCTCTGGAAGCTTCCTGCACAGGTGAACACGTGTCGGGGACGTCATATCGCATCTTCTTATTTTATTATTTTACTCCACAAAAACTATATATTGTCTCTCAGTACTATATGTAAATTTCGACAGAAGACAAATTATATACAGTATGTGCAATTCAGAAATTTTATTTTTCTCAGGTCCATTCCCAGCCTCAAGCAACGAATAGCTGGAAAGTCTCTCCCGGTTGAAAAGTTTGCTGTGAAAAAATCTGCTAGATTCTTTGCTCAGGGAGAGACACTTACTCTTTCTGCCTTAGAACTTATCTATGCTTGGAATGGCTTCAAGATTCTTGCCAAAAAATATGAAAATGTGGAGAAAATGTTTGTCATCATAGACAGAGAGATGAGGAAGCTGGAATCAATCAAAGGTAAAATACATTTTACAATACCATATATCCTTTTATCAACATTACCCTGGTTATTATTTGATATACTGTACAGTATTTGCAATTTTTGTTTTTAAATGTTTATAATAATACATACTGGAAAACACAATGAATTACATATTATAAAAATTTGTATATAAATAAGAGAATCTGCTAACTAGATACAGAGCACCACTTGGTTTCGGAACTTTAGTTATCCGAAACTTCCAGTTTCCCGATTGGGGATGTGGAGTCATGCTACACGAACATAGTTCGGGTGGGAAGCGGTCCGCCATGCGTTGCGCAGGCCTGTGGTGGTGGGTGGGAGATGGTCCAGTTTGCCCACTGACCGTCAGGCATCACCACTCTGGAGTGCCTTCTACCCTGTGACTTCACAGATTCACGGCCTATTATTCCTATTATTTTGAATTGTCATGAGGCTGGAGTGTTCATTCTGTGATTTTGTTTTAGATATCTGCACAATCAAGAAGCATCTGTGCACCATGTCGGCTCCAAATGCAAGCATTGCATCAGTGATGGATGACTGGTGGGTGGATGGATAGGGGAGCTTAGGTGGGAGGCAGTATGAGAGAGAGGGGGAGAATTAGTGAGAAAGGCAAGGAGGGGGAAGTAGGGAGAGATGCTAGGAGGTAGGCAAGAAGGGAGGGAAGTAGTGAGGGAAGTAGTGAGGGATGATGGAAGAATTAGGGAGGGAGGAAAAGGCAGGCAGGCTGGCAGGCAGAGAGGCAGGCAGGCAGGCAGGTAGAGAGGCAGGCAGGCAGGCAGGCAGAGAGGCAGGCAGGCAGGTAGAGAGGCAGGCTGGCAGGCAGGCAGGCAGGCAGAGAGGTAGGCAGGCAGGCAGAGATCGAGGCAGGCTGACAAAGGCTGGCTGGCAGGAATGCTGGCTGGCAGGCTGACAGGCAGGCTGGCTGACAGGCTGGCTGGCAGGCAGGCTGGCTGGCAGGCAGGCTGGCTGGCAGGCAGGCTGGCTGGCAGGCTGGCTGGCAGGCAGGCAGGCTGGCTGGCAGGCAGGCAGGCTGGCAGGCTGGCTGGCAGGCTGGCTGGCAGGCAGGCTGGCTGGCAGGCAAGCTGGCTTGCTGGCAGGCTGGCTGGCAGGCTGGCTGGCAGGTTGGCTGGCAGGTAGGCAGGCTGGCTGGCAAGCAGGCAGGCAGGCTGGCAGAGAGGGAGGCAGACAGTTCAGACAGTATGTACTCAATTTGGAGACGGGACAGAAAAATTAGGAAAGGCGGTGGCGTTGCTGTGCTGGTAAAAGAACACCTAAAGGTGAAGGAAATAATGACTGCCAATCCACAAGAAGTTGACATAATAGCACTAGAGATCTGCTATGAGGATGATAAACTAATGATGATAAATGCATATAGTCCACCGCCAAGCAGCACATGGTCAAAGGAGGAGCTAGATAGTAAACGTGAAGGTCTTATAACAATAATGAGAGAGATTATAGCGAGAGCGGATATCGATAGATCACGACTGTTGATAGTCGGTGACTTCAACTTGAAATCCATAGACTGGGAAGCATATGAAGCTAAAACAGAAGATTTTTGGACCTGTAAATTTGTAGACCTCATCCTGGAAACATTCTTGTATCAACATGTTAAACAAGCTACGAGGATGAGGGAAGGGGACATTCCCTCCATGCTAGATTTGATATTTACCAGGAAGGAGGAAGAGATATTTGACATTCAGTACCTTCCTCCCTTGGGTAAAAGTGACCATGTCTTTTTGGGAATAAAGTATGCAATGCGTTATAAGCTGGAAGAAAATAAGGAGTTTCAAGCAGTTGAAAAACCAGACTTCAGGAGAGGACATTATGGTGACCTTAGAAATTTTTTTAGTGAGTATAATTGGACAGACTTGATGCTAGGCAAGGAAGTGAATGAGATGTATGGCAAGTTTTGTGAAATATATGATAAAGGCACAAAAAAATTTATACCAAAACAGAGATGCAGAACTAGGAAACAGGATTGGTTCAATAGAAATTGCGAGAGGGCTAGAGACCGAAAGACACAAAAATGGAATCAATACAGGAAGAGGCCGAACCCCCAAACATACCAGCGATACAAAGATGCGAGAAACAACTACACGGCAGTGAGGAGAGAGGCAGAAAGAAATTTTGAAAAAGGGATTGCGGACAAATGTAAAACAGAACCAGGTCTATTCTATAAATTCATAAACAACAAATTGCAGGTAAAGGATAATATTCAGAGGTTGAAAATGGGAAATAGATTCACGGAAGTTGAAAAAGAAATGTGTGAAACACTAAACGAAAAGTTCCAAAGTGTGTTTGTACAAAATGAAATCTTTAGGGAACCAGATACAATAAGAATTCCAGAGAACAACATAGAACACATAGAGGTGTCTAGAGACGAAGTGGAAAAAATGCTCAAGGAGCTCGGTAAGAACAAAGCAGCTGGCCCAGATGGCGTTTCACCATGGGTTCTGAGAGAATGTGCATCTGAGCTCAGCATTCCACTTCACCTGATCTTTCAGGCATCCCTGTGTACAGGAATCGTAGCAGACGGGTGGAAACAGGCTAACATAGTTCCAATCTACAAAAGTGGCAGCAGGGAAGACCCCCTCAATTATAGACCTGTATCATTGACAAGTGTAATAGTGAAAGTATTGGAAAAACTAATCAAAACTAAATGGGTAGAACACCTAGAGAGAAATGATATAATATCAGACAGACAGTATGGTTTTCGATCTGGAAGATCCTGTGTATCGAATTTACTCAGTTTCTATGATCGAGCCACAGAGATATTACAGGAAAGAGATGGTTGGGTTGACTGCATCTAACTGGACCTAAAAAAGGCTTTCGACAGAGTTCCACATAAGAGGTTGTTCTGGAAACTGGAAAATATTGGAGGGGTGACAGGTAAGCTTCTATCATGGATGAAAAATTTTCTGACTGATAGAAAAATGAGGGCAGTAATCAGAGGCAATGTATCAGAATGGAGAAATGTCACAAGTGGAGTACCACAGGGTTCAGTTCTTGCACCAGTGATGTTTATTGTGTACATAAATGATCTACCAGTTGGTATACAGAATTATATGAACATGTTTGCTGATGATGCTAAGATAATAGGAAGGATAAGAAATTTAGATGACTGTCATGCCCTTCAAAAAGACCTGGACAAAATAAGTATATGGAGCACCACTTGGCAAATGGAATTTAATGTTAATAAATGTCATGTTATGGAATGTGGAATAGGAGAACATAGACCCCACACAACCTATATATTATGTGAGAAATCTTTAAAGAATTCTGATAAAGAAAGAGATCTAGGAGTGGTTCTAGATAGAAAACTATCACCTGAGGACCACATAAAGAATATTGTGCAAGGAGCCTATGCTATGCTTTCTAACTTCAGAATTGCATTTAAATACATGGATGGCGATATACTAAAGAAATTGTTCATGACTTTTGTTAGGCCAAAGCTAGAATATGCAGCTGTTGTGTGGTGCCCATATCTTAAGAAGCACATCAACAAACTGGAAAAGGTGCAAAGACATGCTACTAAGTGGCTCCCAGAACTGAAGGGCAAGAGCTACGAGGAGAGGTTAGAAGCATTAAATATGCCAAAACTAGAAGACAGAAGAAAAAGAGGTGATATGATCACTACATACAAAATAGTAACAGGAATTGATAAAATCGACAGGGAAGACTTCCTGAGACCTGGAATTTCAAGAACAAGAGGTCATAGATTTAAACTAGCTAAACACAGATGCCGAAGAAATATAAGAAAATTCACCTTCGCAAATAGAGTGGTAGACGGTTGGAACAAGTTAAGTGAGAAGGTGGTGGAGGCCAAGACCGTCAGTAGTTTCAAAGCGTTATATGACAAAGAGTGCTGGGAAGACGGGACACCACGAGCGTAGCTCTCATCCTGTAACTACACTTAGGTAATTACACTTAGGTAATTACAGGCTGGCAGGAAGAGAGGGAGGCAGAGAGGCAGGCAGGCTGGCAGGGAGGGAGGCAGGCTGGTAGGGAGGCAGGCTGGCTAGCTGGCTGGCTGGCTGGCTGGTAGGCAGGCTGGCTGGCAGGCAGGCTGATAGAGAAGGAGAGAGGGAGGGAGGCAGGCAGGCAGGCAGGCAGGCAGGCAGGAAGGGATGGATGGGTGTTGAGGTTGAACAACGTGACCTTTGAGAGAGCGTGTGTGTATGGGTTGTAGAGGGGGTGGGTGGCGGGAGGTGTGTCGGTGGTGGGGGAAGGACCGGCTCACTCCGATAAGCCTAACCACACTCAACCAGTTACCCAGATTTGTTTCTTAAATTTGTTTCTCATCATATATATTTTTGGTTACAGATTTTGTTTAGTAATATTATTAGGATAATAAAAAGTTATAAAAATACTTTTTTATGAATGGTTTATTGTATTAGATGGAGATTCTCTGGCTGGCAATCTACTAAGCTAGCCACTTCGGGGGAAGGGAGGGGCAGCAGCAGTGAGGGTGTACTCACATAGTTGTAAAAAACTAGTTGTCATTGTGGGGTTGAGCTCTGGCTCTTTGGTCCCGCCACTCCTGAGGGAGAAGTGGATCAGGACTTCTCTAATTGGCGAGTGCAAACAAAATACTGTCGCATTTATGCTATGAACCTGTTGATTTTTTCCCTTAGATTTCTTTTCTCTCCATTTTCTTCCATTTCTCATTTATGAACTTACACGATAACTGACGGGTCTCGTCCCCAAGGGGTTCGGAAACCAAGTGGTGCTCTGTATACAGTATTCAAGAAGGAATTTGGTTACATTACAATAACATTTCACTATTATTCATTTCTGGTATTTGTTAATCAGATCCATGTTAAATTTTAGGTCTGTGAGATGCAAATATATTCAGATCAAATGCATTCTACTGCATGTGTTTTAATAAGGTTTAATTCATTCCCTGCTAATAATAATTATAATGAAATTCTTGGTGTCTGGAAAGAGGTAAATATTACCCATAAAATCTTTGAGCAGAATATACTGTATGTGTTATCAGTTTGATTGACTTTTCCCAACAGTTGAGAACAGGAGTGAGTTTTACTGGGACGATTACCTACTGGCTCATCTAGTAAAGGGTTCCTGCCTGGCATATATGAGTTCTCCGTTGCAAGCTGAGGAATGCTTCAAATTCATTGTCAACAATGAGAAGAAGATCAAAGAAGACACATACCTTGTTCCAAATGCCCTTCTTGAGCTTGGACTTATATTACTCCGAGCCAATGATCTTGACCAGTCTCGTATTATTCTGGAGCATGCCAAGTATGTAGTGCACTTTCTTTATTATCAATAAATATTATCACCATCATCATTATATATATATTAAAAGAGACAGTAGCTAATATTTAAACATGGCAAAGAATACTGACCATACTGTACCGCCTTTACAATAGATGCAGCAATACTGATCTTAATTCCTTTAAATCACATGCCTTTTTTTTTTTTTTAAGTTTCATAGCTTTGATAATTACATTTCCTGTCCCCCAAAACTTCAAAGTCACATTTTTATGATATTATTACACATTTACCTCTTATCCTCAGAAATAACTACAAAAGCTACTCACTAGAATCTCGACTACACTTTCGAATTCATGCAACTCTTAACAAGATTCAAAGCATTCAAAAAGGCACTCAACAGTCAGGTGGCCTCTCACCGCTAGACAATTACCCATCCATTAGCCGATCACCGTCTCCCTGTGTGAGCAAGACATCAAGTGCAACAACAAATGGAACTGAAAATCTTTTAAATGGTGCAAAAAATGAGCAGTCTGTCTCTAGTAATCTGTGATAGTTTTAATCGTGTCCAATTTTATCAATTAGGAATATTCTGAAATGCACCATACAGTATATTTTAAATTAAAATATAAAAACTAAATACCAAACATTATTGTTGGCTGTTGCAGCACTGAATAGCCTGCCAGTATTTCCAGAAGCAAAGCATGATGTGAACTATATTTATGACTGCTACTACATAAGCAAACTTATATTAAAAAAGGTTTTATTCATTTAATTTGTTCATATTTTATACACTTGAAATATTATATTTGACTAAACTGATACTAGCAAACAAGAAATCTTCTTGGGAAGATGGCATAGAGGTCTTGGTAGGCTATGTCTCTAAAGTGATAGTATCAGGTATTGTACATGTAAGTTTGAAATATTTCTAGTTTTAGATGAACTATATTTGTTATATTCTTAAATAAGAGTTTAAATTTTAAAATGTGTATATTTAGTATGACAAAAAGTCTACTTAGTAATGTAAAGTATGTGTGTGTGTGTATATATATATATATATATATATATATATATATATATATATATATATATATATATATATATATATATATATATATATATATATATATATATATATATATATATATATATATATATATATATATATATATATATATATATATATATATATATATATATATATATATATATATATATATATATATATATATATATATATATATATATATATATATATATATGTCGTACCTAGTAGCCAGAACGCACTTCTCGGCCTACTATTCAAGGCCCGATTTGCCTAATAAGCCAAGTTTTCCTGAAATAATATATTTTCTCTAATTTTTTCTTATGAAATGATAAACCTACCCATTTCATTATGTATGAGGTCAATTTTTTTTATTAGAGTTAAAATTAACGTAGATATATGACCGAACCTAACCAACCCTACCTAACCTAACCTAACCTATCTTTATAGGCTAGGTTAGGTTAGGTAGCCGAAAAAGTTAGGTTAGGTTAGGTTAGGTAGGTTAGGTTGCCGAAAAACAATTAATTCATGAAAACTTGGCTTATTAGGCAAATCGAGCCTTGAATAGTAGGCTGAGAAGTGCGTTCTGGCTACTAGGTACGACATATATATATATATATATACACATATATACACACACACACACACACACACATAAAAGAAAGAAGAGAAAGTTTTATTTTGCAGAAAGTTTTGTTTTGCAAACATATTGGTAGACAGTTGGAACAAGCTAAGTGAGGTGGTGGTGGAGCCCAAAACCGTCAGTAGTTTCAAAGCGTTATATGACAAATAGTACCGGGAAGACTGGACACCACGAGCGTAGCTCTCATCCTGTAACTACATGTAGGTAATTACACACACACATACAAGGTAATTACAAGAGGTTGAAACATGATGGAAGAGTGGCAGGGAGACTTCTGTCATAGCTGAACAATTTCTGAGGGAAAAATGAGGGCAGTAATCAAAGGTATTGTTATCAGACTGGAGATATGTTACTAGTGGAGTTCCAGAAGGCTCGGTTCTATCAACAGTAATGTTCATTGTCTCTACAAATGATCTACCAGTAGGTATACAGATCTATACAAACCTGTTTGCTGATGATGCTCAGCTACTAGGGAAGATAAGAGAATTAGACGATTGTCATGCTTTTCAAGATGACGTGCACAAAATAAGTATATGGAGTAACATATAAGGGTGGTTGTGGACAGTAAACTGTCACCAGAGGACCACATAAAGTACAGTGTGCTAGTACCTATTCTGTGCTTTCCAACTTCAGAATCACAAAATTATATGTAGGCATAAACTGCATTTTAAATATAAATGAAGATAAAATTAGGAAAGAAAAATGAAAAATTTAAGGAAAAATAATTTTTTTTCTTACCTTGGAGAACAGGTGATTAATTATTGTTACAGTGTGTAGGCAGAATGTAGGTGTTGTACACAATACAAAACTGTCACACTGTGATGCTTTATAAACCGTTTATAAGCAACCTCTTCTAAATCCTTATTTTTAACAGTTTTCACTTTGAACCATTGTTTTCTCTTTCAGTACTTTCAAGGCTGTTTCACTTCTACCTAGTTTAGCCTAACTATTCTTGCCAGTAGACATCTTCCCAACTTAGAAGTAATGAAATAACCAAAGAAAAATTGATAAAAAATCACTGAGTAGCAAGAGATTGTGCCATGTGACCACAATGATTAAATACATATGGCCAAGTCACATCCAGTTACAGGATATCTACAACCAGTGCAGAAAAAGTCCCCATAAATAACATATTAAATGTTTTTAGTAAATATGCAAGTTAAAAATACTGTCCAAAAATTAAATAGCCTTTTCTGTGGGAAGCTCCGTCGGCTCCCTGAAACTATCCATACAGGTACTGATATGGTGCTTTATTAGTGTGGGTCATCAGTCACAGAGTTCTTGTTGCCTACCGAGAACCAGAGCCAGAACCTGGCCCCCTCAGAGAGGCGCAGGGAGCAATGGTCTATGAACACTTTACATTAAAGTTTATCATACTTGCCACTGACCAGGGACGACACCCAGAAAGTTAGGCAAAACAAAACAGTCCACTGTCTGGTTGAAAATTGTGACCTATGTCCTCAAAATAGCAAAAAACTTCCCCCCCCCCCTCCCAAAAAAAAAGAAAAAAAGAAAAACAAGCAGCAATTCTTCCAATTAGCCTCCCGCTCATTACTGTCATCCCCTCTTACCGCATCCTTCCCCCTTCCCAAATGCGGAAGGAGAGGGAGCCAGCTCGGGTGAGCTGTACTGTTCACCATTCAATTCTTGACTGATGTGCTTGGTGGTTGAATGTTGCCACTGGCCACGGTTTCCTGTTCGGGGAGTTTTGCCTTGTATGGCTGTTCCTGCACTTATGGTGTGCGTTTGGCCAAGAGTTCCTGTGTACTGGAACTGCATGCGCCTAAGGTTTTTCTTCTCAGATTTCCACTGTGAAGGTTTGGGAGGCTCTCGATGCTTACCTCCTGTGGGACTTGGTTATGCCTCAGTGTTGGATTCGGCTTCTTTTGAATTCGGCTCTTCTTCCCCATATTGGGTGCATTATGAGGTTCCGGTGTCTTCCTGGCTGGCAGACTGTCCCTTCTTTTCTCTTGGGGCTTGGTGTGGTTTTTGTTGTACCTATGTGCTTGAGTGGCGAGAGATTACTACTGTGGTGCAGGTGTTCGTTTGGGGGCTTTCTAGAGTTTCTGATTGAGTGCTTCCTCATAATGTTGGTCTGGTGCAGCTTCATACTCAGGTCCTCACTCTTTCAGCTGCTTTGGTGGCCGATGATTTGCAGATTCACAGTCACTTCACCTCTGTCTTGTGATTCTTCAATCTTCTGAAGCTGTTTTCTGATTGGGTTTCAGAAGATGCAGAGTCTCAGGATGGGGGCCCTCGGCTTGGGTCTTTGTCTCAGCTACTTCTGCATCGTCTGCCTTACTGAAGCTTTTTGCACCAATAATCCAGGAGGCAGTTTCCATGTTTTTTATCTCCTATCTCACGTGTCGACAGGCTGTGCTGGCTCTTTTGTTGGATTTCGCTTGGCTCTGGCTCTTCAGCTGGCTTCCCTGTTTTGTCCTGTTTTGTTTCCTGAGGATTGTGTGTCTCAGTTTCTGTCAGTGGTTTCGGCTAGATGCCTGCCTATTTTGGTTTTGTTCGTTTTCTGGGATTGGGTTGCTCCCGGCACTTCTAGAAGGGTTGTGCCAGGGCTTGGGCTTCGTTTGGTCGGGGTGGGCCTGTGGTGCCAGTTTCTGAGTTGGTGTTCCCTGGTGTCTTTTTCGTCTGGTCAGTGCAGTGTTCGCCCTGCACAGAAGTTGGTCTCTCTGGGTTTACGTCCTGGCCTGTCTGCTTGTCTGTAAGCCAAGGATCTGGCTCTTTTCCAGCTCGCCAGGTTTGGGTTCCTGGTGAACTGTCAGAAGTCCCAGTTGGTTCAATCCCAGGTTCGGACTTGGCTGGGCCTTGTGTGGGTTTCTTGGACTGCGTAGCTTTCTCTCCCTCCTGCAGCCAAGCTCTGGCTGTGGTCCTGTTGTCGGCTGTTTTTGAGGGGGACCGGGTCACTCAGCGGTTGCTCGAGCAGCTGTGCAGGAACCTAAACTTTGTACTTCTGGTTTATCCGCTGGGCAGGGTTTGACTTTGGAGACTGTTCTGGTATCTTCGGGGCAGCCTCTTTCCCTGCTCTTGTGATCGCTGGGTTCATTCCCCGGTGTCCTTGTGCCAGTTGCTGCATCATTGACTTCCTCTTTGGGTTTTGGAGTTCGGTGCCTTGGCGCCTTCCTCCTCCCTTGCTTGATGTGTTCATGGACGCCTCATCTGTCGGTTGAGGCTTTGTGACCAGTGCTCACCAGTCCAGCCAGGGGGCATTGGCGGCTGTTCATGTGTCGAACTCACAGCATGGTGCGGGAGTTTGCGGCTGTGTGGCTGGCATTGCAGAGGATTCAGCTTCCTCGGGGCTCGGTGATCATGCTCCATTTGGATTCATTGTCTCAACTGGGGAGGGAGGGGGGGGGTCCTTATTGGTGATTAAGAGATTTCCTGTTGCTGTTTAAATGCACTGTTTCATATCAACACAGGCACTATCCTCTGTCAGCATTTCCAACACTTTCCTTTCTTCTTTTCAGTGTTGCTCCAGCTGAAGCAAATATTTGTTTGATAAGGAATTTGCATGACAATCAAGCAATTTAGCATTGTGCTCAACCATTGTTTGTGGTGATGTTTATCAGAGTCGAACTCTCACTGTGTTCTTTCTTATAACCTCAAATAATGATACATTTTCTCCTTCAAACTAATGTTTTCTAATTTTTTCTTGGGAGGAAGGAGGTGAGGTCGAGGCACAACTAACACTTGATGGACAACTTGAACTAAAGTTGTCTGGAATTTGCAAAAATTTAATAGCTGTAAATATAGAATAAAAGCATATGACACCAAAGGTTATAACCACAATGTTGACAAAAACACTGAGGGAAGACACTTAAGATATCCCATGTCTCTTAGGTCCCATTATCAAGAAAGCAAAGTTTAGAGATGGCAACTATCTGGTATTGTAGCCCTTTTCTTAAGATGTTCCAGGGCACCATAAGTAGGCAGAA